TTTATATATATATATATATATCAAAGGTTATTTGAAATTAAGTGCTTCAAATAGATATATCATCAATCAGGTGACAGAATTAGGAGCCAATCATCGTCCTAGCTTGGAGGTTCATAGAATTAAAGATAATTTAATATAGTTAAATAACAGATTCAAAATCTTTTTGTTTTCAAATATCTGATTTTACTTCATACACTGAATTCAGTGATGAAATCTAGAGCAGAATGATCACATAAGAAAATGCTGTTATAGACTGCCTAATCATTATACTCGTCAGAACTTAGATCCGGTGATACTTTTTTCAGACTCTTTCGGAAGCGAATCAACGGGAAATGGCCGAACGTCTTCTGAAATCGTTTAGCATTCGTAACATAACTCATGCTTTTGGACGTTCAACACTTGATTTTCGATCTTTTTCACCTCCCCTTAGTCGACCGCGTGCAATACAACCACTTAATCTGCAAGGACGATTACATCCTATGAATACACCCATTGAACTATCACAAAATGAGGTATGTCTTTTTGTTGGTATGAATTTGTTTTTAATAATCATTTGGTGGGATAGAGTAGCCCAGGTACAAATAATAAACATAATGGTTTGTTTAATGTAAAGTATCTTTGTGTTATACAAAAACTTCGATTTTAAGCAATTATTAAGTTATATTTTAAACTAGACATAATTTAATATTAAACAGATAAGTAACAGATAAGTAGGCCGATTAAACAGATAAGTAACCTAACAACTGAGCAATATATGATTTTGCAGTCTAAATTCTAGTCTAAACGCAGACTGGTTTCAACTTGGTTGTTTATTCGTGATTAGGAATTATTGGCGCTTAGGGGAATAAAACTTTAACACGTATGGAAAGGTAGTGTGACTGCTATCAAATTGCAAATTTGATACAAATTTGGTCAAATTGCAAAAATTGCAAATTAATTGGCTGCTATCAAATTGCAAAAGCCATTGTAATCGGATCAATGACATGATTTTGTGATGGTTAAGTCTAATTGTATTTATTGCAGTTATGTTTAGCAGACGTAAAAAAGAAATTCATTGTAGTTAGTCAAACCGCTGATCAAGTGGGGCGCATTTTACAATGCTGTTGCTGCCGGACTATGTATCGGTGATTCAGATAGTTTACGTCTTGACAGTGAGTGGCTTGCGATGAGCATCAATCACTTGGTATTAAGTTATTGGTTCTTTCTGTCCTGATCTAATTTAGCTAAATCATTTTTAGAAGATTAATTTCTGATAAAACCGACTATCACCAATAGCAATTTTGATTTATCTCTCACTTCAGCAAGGACCAGAAGCTGCTGGTTTGATGTATGCGTTTGGATTGAATGGTCATATAACGAATATGAATTTATTTATGATACATGAACTTTTAAGTAGCGGTGATCCGGTGATGAGCATTGCAATCCTGCTTGGATGTGGTGTAAGTCGGCGAGCAACTGCCGATGTGCAGGTAGAGTAATCTAGTATTTTTAAAAAGTTTTATGAACTTGTTTATTCATACTTACCCATGCTTTTGAAGTTTGCCAAAATTCATAAACTAATTCGGATTCAGGTCTTTACTGATTCGTTGTTCATGTGATAACTTACATGAACAACATATGACGATGTGGCATTTGCTACAGTCAGGTCGCATTGGATATTTTTGAAAGCTTTAATTAAGCCAGTAAAGTTTTGACTACTCTGTGCTAACATCATGTTTCCGAAGTACTGGTGCTCTGAGTACCAAATTAAAAATAATTCTGATGTTGATGTGAAGTCTTCATATGAGACAATTGTTATATCACCCTGGAACTATAGAGGTTTCAGTGTAGTACGATAAACTTACTGAATAATTTTCCCAAGTTACGACTTTCATTTTGGAAATCAGTATGACCATGTTATGCAAGTTAAAGAAAAAAGTTGCGGATTTCAATAAAATTTACTTTTTAAATATTTCGCAGTAGATTTCAGTTTCAAACTAGTTTTCAGATGTATAAAATGATGGTAACACATTTACCATTTATGATGGGCCCAACATTACTTGAATTGCACATCGATACGATGATTCAAACAGCGGCACTTGTAGCACTTGGCCTTCTCTTTGCACAATCATCACATATGGGTATCTTAAGTCAGCTAATTAATGAAATAGGTCGACCTGCTTGTCCGGATTATGAACCACCGACTGATCGATATTCGTATTCTCTTGCTGCTGGTTTTGCTATTGGTCTTATTGCTCTGGGTCAGTCGAATTTATTTCATTTTCTCTATGAATTATGGAAACTTGTCGTGTTTCTGCTCCAATAATGACGAATAACAGAGAACTTACCAGTAAATCAATGTGACTCACTGCATATCATTTTTCTGTTATAAAAGTTTGGAAAATTTTTTTTTTTGATTTCAATGTGTCATTAATGATTTGCAATATCAAATTTGGTAAAATACTTACAGGACGCGGAGAAGACTTGTTGTCAAGTGTCCCGTTTGTAGAACAGTATCCTGCTATAGCATCCAGGCTTATTGTACTAATGGAAGGTGGATTACGATCGCTGTGCGTTTTTCCTTCGACTACATCAGAAGGAGCTTCTTTGGGACATACCACTACTACCTCAACTTTTTCACAGTCAAATCATGTTCGAGAATCTGAAAATGTTAATCCACACCTGACAGGTTGGCTCCATTTTGTTTGTTCATTTATTTTATATATCAACATTTGTAAGTGAACAAAATTTGTAGATAATATGCTCACAGAATATCTTATTTCGTTTAATGTATCGCATAAAATATTTGGATAGCTTTGCGTATGTTGTTCCTTGATCTTTTTTAAATGCTATGATCGATTCGATCACTTCCGCATATCCTCCAAAAAGGTAGAGTTGTAATTATCATACTTGCTTAATCTTAGACAATGTTACCGCCAAGGCTTCTTTTTTTGAACTTTAAAAACTTCTAGGTTTTTCATCGGATGTTTTTTTCGAGTTATAAGCGCACCGAATCCTCTCCCATATTTTGTCTCTTCAAGCTGCTTCTCTTTATAAATGATACCTAAAATCTTACTGTAAATTTTAATAATCAGCTCTCTTCTAATCTATTCATTTCTGATCTTTTCTTTTTCGAAAAAATTGTATCAAGAATTGTTTTTTGAGTTCTTATATTTCTAGTTTACTCAAGGGTTTTGATTTATTGCAGCAAGTCCAGCTGCCGTTGCATTAGGTCTGATGTATCTTCGAACAGGGAATAAATGGGCAGCAGAAAGTTTGAAAATCCCGGAAACAGTATCAGCGATTGAAGAAATCCGACCTGATCTTATTTTACTCAGGTGAGGACCGTATTTTGACTAGCTTTTGTAAAACCAAGTTCGAATTGAGGTTCTAAAAAATGGTTGAGAGGCTTTCTTAAAATGTTTCTGTTTCTAAAAGGCTTCTTTTTTACAACCTACTAGCATTGGGAAAAGGTCCGGAAGCAGCAGAAGATACCGTTTTTCAAGTGTAAGTCTCAATATAGATGGTTTTCAGGACACTTTGCCGACATCTTGTTTTGTGGAATGAAATAACGGCTTCCAAGCATTGGGTGGAAGAATCAGTACCTTCAATTGTGCTAAATTATAAGCAGCGTTTATTCAGCGAACAACCAAAAACTGATGACGATGATAAAGAGGAAGAATTACGGATGCTGCAAGCAGCAGTTGATAAGCAGACCATAGCTCAGGTTATATCACTTCTATTTCCTATATTCTCTCATCCGTCACTTTATCAGGAGATGATAGGGTGAATGAAGCGGTTAACGAGACTACTAAATTAATCCTCTTCCACGTCCGATGTGCTGTTGCTAATAATTGATCATCAGCAGTGTTACATTTTATGAAGTTCGGTAGGATCATTTCTTTTTTTTAAATATCACGAAATCATTGCTTGTAATCGCACCACTGATGAAGCTATCAGTGTTTACAAGTTGTCTGGTCAGTTAAGATTGAGAAGGATTATTGTTGTGTGAAGGGAGAGATAACTAAGATACATCACTGAAGATCAGATACTGATACGAAGCTTTCCAGATTACAGTAAAGGAGGTTCCGTGGGAGTTTCTATGTTATTTGTAAAAGTAGTAGCATGACACTTTTTTTTAAATCAAATTTTTTTTTTGATTAATGGTTTCGTTTTGGTTTTTATGGAATATGCGGTGATCTGAGCGTTATTTTATGTTGAACATGAAAAAGATTAGTCATGTTAAGATAGGACTTCATGATGCAATCGGGAAGCTCAAACTATTTATGGCATCCTACAGTAAGATGTCATTTGTGTGACAGTATTTTTTTCTTGATATTATTATCATTCAGTTACGGTTATCAAATTTTAGAAGTCTGGACATTATTCGGAAACATAATTTATTATTAAATGTATGCAAATGGGTAAACAGATGTGGATCCAGGAATTCTAAAATTCATTAATTTTTCCGACAATATAGGTTTTTTAGACCTATTTGAATGTCGTAGCTGGTGCTTGCTTTGCATTGGCTATTCGTTTCGCATCGACATGGAACTCTGAAGCCTTTAATATAATCGTAAGTTTGTATCTCTTGCTAGGGGAAAAAATTTTTTATAACATTTTGAAAAATTAATTTCTTATAAAACATTTTTTTTCCATTTATAGTGGCATTATATAAGAATGGTTATACCGTCGGATGTACAGCAGGTTTACAGCAAACTAAGTCTTGCCGCTGGTGTCACAACTTGCCTTAATGTGCTCGGCACTCTTATTAACTCATTGGGCATTGTATGTCTTTTTTCTTCGCATGATTTTTTTCTAAAATTTTTACTTCATCATTTAGATCTATACCAAAAAATGTTGAAGTTTTCCAGAACACATAGTTTTTCAATAATCGTAATTTATTATTTTACCTCAAGTGCTCTTGACTTACAGTACAAGACATTAGATTTTTTAGATTTTTTAATGAAACTTTTAAGACAAGTCTGCTGAAATACAAGATGTATTGTTTAAATAATGAGTGCTTAACACAGTGTTTCATTACTGCAGCACTTTTTTATTTCCAGCTTATGGCGGGCAGTGGAAATTTACAAGTGCTACGTCTTTGTCGATTAATTCGCACACGTATTACTTTACCGGAAGCGTATCGCGACAATACGTCGCATAGCTTATATGCTACTGCAAACACAGTAATGGGAATGTTGATACTTGGACGTGGAAGGTTCGAATTTTTTTCTTCGGGAGCTTTTTTTTTCCTATCTAAATTGTCTGAAATGTTTATTGAAGAAAGAAGTATAATGGGAGCAACAATTTTACTTATATTGATTTCTTCTACATTTAATTATTGTTTCTTTCATCGCGTCTTTTTGGATCGTTATACAGATGAATAAAATAGAATGTTTCCATGATTGTATGTTTTCTACAAAAATCATACATCATTTATTATGGCACGGATCAGCATTACCTTGGCTAATTTCTTACAGTATTAGTCTATCAAAAGGAACTGACATTGTTTACCATCATTTGTGATCATTTCACGCGTTGATTGGGTTTTCAGTGAACCAAACGAATATAGAGAAATGAAACTGTCTCATCATCATCTTGAAGTAATTGTTAATGGTTTTTTGTTTTTTCTTCAAAGTGTCTTTTTTCAGATATGCTTTGAAAACAGACGATTTATCAGTCGCTGCACTTGTTATTTCATTCTTCCCAGTCAGTCCTCATGCGCTCAGTGATAATCGGTCGGTAACATTAACTGATATATCCTTTTTTTTCTTGTTTTTATCAAATTACTGCTTTTAATCTATCTGAAACGAAAGAATAGAAAAGAAAGTATAGGTTGATCAATAGTGGATTGATTGTGGGATTTCCCTCTTTATTTTTCATTTAAATGTATGTGTGCAGTTATTTTCAAATATTAAAAAAGTAAAATGCATAATTTAGAGAAAATAGAGATGGTTGTGTTTTCGTTTAATAAATTAATTTCATTTCTGTGTATTTAATTTTTATTTTTTAAATGGAAATAAACAAAGTTCTCCTGTATATAAAGAATAACAGAAAAAAAAAACACTGTTGATTATTCTGTATGTTTTTCTAGAACCTATTTGCAAGCACTTCGGCTACTTTGGGTAATTGCAGCGGAGGAACGCTTGTTATGTTCAATCGATGCAGACACTGAAGAATTGGTAGAGCTGGAGGTTGAAATTACATTCAAGGTAGAAAGTTTATTTTCCTTCAGAATGAAGTTTCGACTATAAAATCTTTCGATAAGCCGAATTCTTTTAGTCGCATTTAGTTTCTAATCCCAACTTTTAGTCCAGAAATAATACAATGTATCCATATAACTTATGAAAAATGCCTTTGTGGTCTAGCCTTTTAAGATTTCAGGGATCCAGAATTATATATCCGGATGTACTTACTCTTCGTACGCCTTGTATTATACCTGAATTGAGTTTGCTAAGTAAGGTAAGTATCTAGTTCAAAGTACCAAAAAATCACTAAAATGTGGATAAGACATTAGAAATGGTATAATTATTAAAGGAATTCTAGAAAAACATATGTCGAAGAGGACTTCTTCATGAATTGTAACTTGTAAATTCATGACGAGTTGTTCAGGTTCTTGATATCTAAGATAACGCTTTTTTAATGATTTCTCCTATCATTTTAAGGATTTAGCAAGAAATTCCTTTTCCAGGTTTATTCTAAATGAAGGTGGAAATTTCTAGAGACCACTGCAGATGTTGTGGTGACATGTCTTTCATGGTTTTCATGAAATTGGACATGAATTCCGAAAAATTCCGTTAGAGTCAACTCTTTCTTAATTTTTCATAAATAGTTTTAATGATATGAAATCGAAATTTCAGGTTCAGGTTGGTGGACAAGAATATGCAAAGCAAATTTTTGATTTAAGGCATGAATCAGAGAGGCAAAGACTGGAAGAGATTCTGAAAAAGCAGCATGGGCGGATGGTAGTAAACTATTTAGGGCAGTAAGTCGAAGTTTTGCTAAACTCAGTTCAAATGAAGATTGATGATCGACTTGCATTTTTACCTTTTTCTCGAAGCATTGAGTTATTTAGTTAGATATAAATTGTTAGGTTTCTTTGTATATCGGCAGGATGAGAGGAAAAGCAGGTCTTATCCATTTTATCTTAGCTTATTTCACAGGTTACATCTAAGACTCTTCTCACGGGACACCTTTTTATCAAGCTCTGGATTATTTTTTGACGTCAGTCCCATCAGAAAAATTAAAACTAGGATTAAAAAATGACAAATTATGAAGAAGCTACATCTTAATGAAAATTTCTAGAAGTTGTTCAAGTATGAGTGAGGCATCGCTTTTAATTTATTGGGATATTTTTATGAATCTAGTGCTTTTGGTATCTTGAGAGTTGAGTTTGTAAGACTAGAATATTTAAAGTTGATTTTATGTTAAAAATTATCAATCCGATTCCTTTACGATGACGTTTTCAGAAAGGAACAGAAAATTGTTGTTGCAACAATAAAACAAATGTGCAGTGCGGAAGATGACCCGATGTTGGTGCCGATATGTGAACAAGATTTGCTCGATGCAGTAAAGAAGGACCAAAATTTCCGTCAAAAATTCGATTTCAATCTACCGGAGACAATTAGTGGTACGGAAAATATAGAAAAACCAAATATATCTGCTTTTGGATCCTGGATACGAAGTTTTCAGCTCGATAACGGTAGCATTGCAGCTTATGATTACGCTTTCTCATTTATTAAGGTATTTTTAAAGGTGTTTTTATTAGATATTAGATGTTAAGCAAATAATTCTCTGTTCTCTTTACTTTGGAGAATTTAAAAAAAAAATTTCATCTTTAAATGCATATTCCGTCTGATAGAACTGAGAGGAGGTATGAAAAAATTAGAATGTGGGGATGTCATCCTGGGGTTTATGAAAGATAAAGCTGTTTCTTGGTCGCTTAAGTGGCTGTTTGTAATTACTTCGTAACGGAAAGAATAATGTTGATAGCTTCGATATTCTTTACACATCAATCGGTGACGATCGCGTAGTGCTGGTATTGGCGATATATAATTTGTTGGTACCTAAAGTCTATGAAATTGGAATTAAAGAGAAATTTTCAGTTTAAGCTGAATTACACCATGTCCGGAATACAGATGGACTAAATATATCTAGTCCTTATATTTATGCTGTTCCCAAAAAAAAAGAGTTACCCGAATCTGTCACTGGAACACACACGGAATTAGCGTTTGATCTACAACATGCAGCGTTCAAATTTAACTTGTCGTCGTAGAATCTAAATCGAATTTGTTAAAGCTCAGAATTTCTGCAGTACAACCCATTTCAGGATGTACTTCGAAAAAGCCCACCTCGTTTTGCGCATATTCAGTACGACTTGCTAGATGCATTTCTTGAAAGGAGTTTATCTGATCAAAACGACGAATGGCCCGTCCGTTCGAATGTTATTCCTAATGAGCTTATCAAATCATTAATGTAATGCAAAATTATAGTTCGAAAATGTAAACAGTTCATTTCATTCCATAGATTAACTGGCCCAAACTGCTTGTTTACTGTTATTTCCGAAACCTCTCACTTTTTTGGCACTTGTATTTTGCACGTTGCATTATATTTATGTGCCCATTGTTGTTTTTAAAGAAATACGTTTATTCCTATTACATCGAATTACATTATTACATTATTTGAAGTTTAATTGCAAAAGGACTCAAATCTTGTAGCTTTTTATTGCACAAACTGGATCGAAATTCCCGAAATATCACAACCACTTCATGTTAGAATACTATCAGTCATCTTCTTACTGATGTTGGCGCCGTAGAATCTAAATCGAATTTGTGAAGTCTCCTACAAATCGAGTCAGTTTCCGAAGAGTAAGAGATGAAATAGACTCCCATTTTAATCTGAAATGGAGCTAGAGTCTATCGAATCCCAACAGTCACAAAAATAGTGATTCCTCTTTCGTTTTTACTTCCCAGTTTCCTTCACCCAACAAAATTCCTGTCGTTCCTTCTCCCTCATCTCTTATTCAATGCTTTATTTCTCTTACTCTTTAGCATATGCCAATTTCCACTGCAATAATCTATGAAAGATGTTGTTCACTTCATAAGAAGGATAAACTCAGGAGAGATCTTTGATAACTTGAAACAATATAAAATCCTTCAAGTCAGCGTGGAATAATATATCTGAAGATTGGTTTTTGGTATAGATAATCCAACAGGAAATTCACTAGCTTTCATTCACTGGTCAACACCACCGAACTTAATCCGTATATCAACCCTGGTATGTATGCAGTTTACCAGATGAGCACAATTCCATCTCGCAAAGTATTTTTTATTCATCTGATTTCTCATTGGTGGAAATTGAAATTGAAATGAAATGAACAATGAAATAATTTTATTTTATATACCACAATCCCGAAAGCTCCCATTGGTTATAGTGATTAAATATAATATAGTTCTCCATTCGGATTTTTCCACATTGCTCTATCACCAACATACAATTACAAATTAGAAATGAAGCATTTTGACACGGAAAATTCTAACACAACAAGCTTATCCTACAAGAAGACAACCAAGAAGTCTTTGAAACCCAAAATTTATCGAAGCTTCAGTGCTCAATAAGAAAAAGCAAAAAGTAATGTGTAGTGGTGTGATGGCGTTCATTCCTTTTGTAACCAATAAATGAGTTAAAACGCAAGCATGATCAAACTCGGCGTCTCTTGCTTCTTGAAAACCGATAATTAGTAGCGATCCTGGTTGTTCTGAAGAAAAATCCTTTTTTAAATCCAGTTCCAGTCAATTGAAGACTTTCAGAAAAAGCAGTGGTCAAGCCATGTCTGCACTCCACAACTTCTTAAATAAACTTTATTAACGATTCAACTTGGTATTCATGCTATTTTCTCTTGACATTTCATCACGAACTCCAATCGATAATTCATTTGTTCGGAAGTTGCAGAATCATTCGCAATCAGAAAACGAAATGCCTGAATTTTCCACTCTTCAACAAACCTTTTCTATAGTTTTGAATCCTCTATTTTGATATACAAACATGACCAGACATTATTTGTTGTAAACAAAAAAAAAGAAAAATGAACGAAGCAGAACGAAAATGAATAGAAATTTCTAAATGATGCTTTTAGAGAAAGCAATATCTAGAGAAGCAGTGGTGAGAGACCATCCTCAAAATTATTGTTTTTTTAATCTATGAAGATTATCAGTGCTTCTAATGTTTTGCAGAGACGCATAAAAACCATGACTAATGATGGTGCTCGGGACTCTGACAAAGAACACTTTTTCTTTCATTAACTATGATATACATAGGCATCAAGGTCTGGCCCGCTAACAAAGGTGTCTGCATATTATTCATTTCCAGATATCCCGACAATCATTATCTTCCCTACGATATTATAAATGAACACTCTCCACCCTTCCGGTACTTCAGAAAACTACATGGAACTACAGACAGAAAAGTAGCCAGTACTTTTTAGAAGCTAAATCTCAGTTTCCCCTTATATCCTCATTTCTGTGCTCCCCTCGCTTCCAATGATCCTGTTTTTTCTGCTCTTTTGCTTCATTTTTTTTAAATTTAACTAAAACGGAGCAGACTTTATTGAGACTGAAATCACAGATTTCGTTAGTAGAATGTTTCCATGTGTCTACATCAACGATCAAATGCTATATATAGAAGGCTATGCAAAATTTTTTTCGAGATAAATTTCCGATCTATATGGATTTCAGGACATTGTTCTTCACACTTTAAATAATAATACTAAGAAGGAGGGAAAGAAATCCTTTATTCCATTACATATGAAGCCCAAGCTGTAAATTTATCATGCAACATTATGCAGTAGTTTGGATAGAACATGAAAGCACACTAAGAGAAATTGAACGATTTCATAATGAACTGAAATAAAATCGAAATCTAATTAAATAATCGATAGAGAGCATACAAGCCACTTAAAAGACTTTTCGTTAAAGAAACAAAAGATCAGAAAAAAAACCCATGTTGATGGTAAACCTTTTCATTCCGGAAATTATGTCTTTGTTCGCTGAAATAAAGCTTTTGGGCGTTTTAATTTTTATCAAACTGCAAATTATGAAAGCTCACTTCATAGTATTAGTCAAATTTTTTGTACCTTATAGCTGGGAATTTTCAGTGTTCTCTAAAATCATTTCAATAGAATCTACGTTCAAGTATGACGAGCTAAAGATCCAGAACTTCATGAAAATTTCCCGAATTTAAAAAGTGTTAAACTGGAAATAGGAATAGATGAACTCTTTAACAGAGAACAGGGGACTGAGCAAAAAAGTACCATCCAAAATTAGCCCACAAATTGGGAAGTGAAATACGGTTGTGACGTATTCCTCTTCGATGCAAACTTTTGGCAGAATATTTCTGATGAAAAAATAGCATAAAATGGAATTTATTTTCATGCTTATATACTTATGTTCTATAAAAAAGTTGCCTAGGACATGACTAGCTTTCATGAAAGTAATATGTCAGATATATTTCTGTTTCTTTTCTAGTTTTTTAGAAGACCACTCTTACAGTAAGGGTAGTAAGGGCATAGAAACAAAGTTTCTGAATATATTATAGTTTCTGATATTTATAAACTCACCGCGAGATAATATGCAACGGAACTACTCAGAGACGATAATTTTCCAGCTACTTTGCTCGCACCCATCCTCATGCTATCTCTGATTGTCGCCATTTCCGGCATTTGACTCGCATAACCACCACCATATGAACTATTTTCGCCATTACCAAACAAATCAGCACTGCCAATCGCACTTGAACCTTCGAAGCGATTCAACCTGGACTGCGCCTCATACTAAAACAGAACATCCTTACTTTAAATTTCCAAATTAGACAATTTTGCTTATTCTGTTAATAATAGAAAAAACATTTCTCCACATTTTTTTTCTTTCCTATAATCAATGTGTCTTATAGCAAAATCCTCACATCTACTTGCACACCACCAAAATATTGATCAGATGATATTGCTCTTGCATTTGCAAATTTCTTCAATGCGCTATCATTAGATGGCTCAATAACAGCAGTGGTTATAGTCGGCCTCGACCTGAAATGAATTTCTAAAAAGAAATTTTTCCATTTTAATTTAATAGTAAGAACATATCCTATTCAGAAAGAGAAGACTGTCTAATAAAAAGCTATTTGCCAAATATCCTGATACGTCAGTAAAACCATTTCTTAAAATTATCCGATTCTCAGTCTAGCGCGCGTTACTGGAGCGCTAATATACATTAGCACAGTTATTACAAGCTCTTTTTACATTGGAAAGAGCCTTTTGTCGCCTTCTCATGAACAATACTGTCTTATTTTCGAATATCAAGTTAATAATGACTCCAAAAAAAAACATGGATGAAGTAAATACGGTTTTTTAATTGTAGTTGTTGAAGCAGGAGTTTCCCAGCTACCGAAGAAATCATTTTCTTCTGTATTTTCTACGCCACGATCATCGACGATGTTTGATCGCCCTTCATTTCCTCTAAATTAGAATGCCTGGTAAGAACGAAACAATTTTCAGTAGCCACAACGTTGATCTCTTCCAATGAACAAAAAATGAAACGAAAAGAACAGCCGTCGTAACAAAAGCAAAAAGTGCTAACCAAGTCATGTCTACTCTCATTCCACTTTCGACATTTAAACTCGAAAACTTGTAAAACTGAACAGAACCTCAAGTCATCATCAATAATTTCCCATTCGCCTTCTCGTCGATTTGGAATTATAGTTCGATTGGTATTCCTTGAAATGCCTTCTTGAGGAATGGTTTTGATACCGCTTGCTACCGAATGACTTATTCTTCCCTTCCCAAAGATAGCGCCACCGCTGCCCATACCGAGACGTTCTATTACGTCTGCTTTACTCTGATCCACAGTGCTTGCTTTTTGTTTAGCCTAAAATGATAAATTGTCTAATGAAATCGAATCTTCCACAGAAAAATATTAAAATTAAATCAATTTAAAAACCAGAACCAATAATAATAACAATACGAAAAACAGGAAAGTTTTCGAACAGTTCCGGATGCAAATCACCAACAGTTCGTTAGGCTTCCAACACTGCCAACAATCATGAAACCACGACCGCTGAATCCTTACAACGATCTAGTTATAAATTCTAAAAAAGATAATATCATGACACACCTTTTTTTCTAATTCTTGCATCAGAAACCGACTCGAAACTTTTGTTTTTGAACCATCAGAATCAGTATCATCGTTTCCAGCATCTTTAATAGTAGAACTTTCTAGGGCTTCCTTCTCTCTGTCATAATTGGATGCTTTCTGTTCAATCTCACCGAAATTTGCAGTTATGCGATGTGCACCCATTCCTTTTCTAGCACCAAGCTACAAAGATGAGAAGTATATTTTTACTCATCCTACTTAAAAAAACAAGAAAATAAAAGATCCAAGACGAATGTTTATCCGTCCATACAAACAGGTAAAGTAAAAATGAAGAGAATTTACTATCAAAAAATAAAATCAGTCAGGACTGTTTAAATGCAACCTACCCCCGATTTTTTCACTGATACTTTTTTACTCGTAATTTTTGATTTCAGTGGAACATTTTGTTCACGATGTGCATCACTTAATGATAACGTTTCAACACTCGGTCCTGAAAATCAGACCCTTTCTTCAATCAGTGTTACTCACTAATAAACTTCGACAAACTTTAAAGCAAAATTGTTATTAACTGACAGAACCCCGTAAAAACAAAAAAAAAAAAAAAACTACCGGGTACTCAACTAACTGAAGAAGTAATAACAGCTGAGAAACATGATGGGAGATATGCATCATAAACATCAGAACAATACAGTTACGACAGCCACAATCAATCGGAAGTAAGTTTAAAAATCCTGAGATATGGTGTATATACAGTATTTAGGACTAGGAGATTAGGCTTGATATACAGTCACACTTCAAAAACATCCAA